GGGTGTGGGTGTGGGTGTGGGTGTGGGTGTGGGTGTGGGTGTGAGTGTGGGGTGGGTGTGGATGTGGGTGTGGGTGTGGGTGTGGGTGTGGGTGTGAGTGTGGGGTGGGTGTGGATGTGGGTGTAGGTGTAGGTTCTCTGTCTTCACATTCAAACCCACTGTTACAGTCATATGTATCACTCTTTGACTCATTGGTATTTGTTTTTTCATTTCGCATTCTTTGGTGCTTTATTTCTCTCTATATATCGCTCTCTATACTTGCTTAAGAGGGAATTCAATCTCGAAATAAGACGAACATCAAGAAGGAACTGGGGTAGTCTTAATATTTGGTGCCGTGACCCGTGTTCTCTCGATCATTTTCACATAACGTTGCAAACACCTGTGTATTGGGATTCTGTCACATTCATTAACTCTTCGGTACAATTCATTTTTTCCATTACTATTTACCTAAAAAAAAACAAAAACCCGAAAAACGACGTCTCAACAACGCAGACATTTGCGAAGCAACACCCAACCCGGTAACTTACTACCACACGATATAATCACATACGGGCGCATCCGACATCACGCTGTTCCTACGGATACAACTACTTCTTCACATACTATTTCAACTACCAATATGGAACTAAATCCTTTTCAAAATCTTCTTAATACAACTGCTTTAAAGGAACTACCCAAATTTACTGGCGATCCTAATCAGAAAGTTACTCAGTTTATTAATGCTGTTGAACATATCGGTAGCTTCGCTGGATTGAATGAATCGATGCTACATTCTATCGCTACTATTAAATTAGGAGGATCTGCCTTTAATTGGTATGATAACAATAAAGACCATCTACAAACATGGCGAGATCTAAAACAACATCTTCTTGAACGCTTTAAACCATCTGTTTCTGCTATCAAAACGCGACTGAAGGAAAGAAAACAACAACCAGGTGAACTACTTAACGCCTACTATGATGATATTATTGATTTATGTAAACAAGTTGATCAAAGTATGCCGCTACATATGATCGTTGATTATTTACAAGATGGTATGCGCAATGATTTAAAAATACACGTCAAACGTCGCCTCAAAACGCTCGATGATGAACCAACACCAGGTATTTTTTGGAAGATCGCTCATGATGAAGAAGAGTTACTGAACGAAATTCCTTCTGAAACCCAACAATCAATCATTCCAACATCCCCATATTTTGCACCTGTCACTGCTGTCACTCAAAAA